ATAAAAAACATTATAAAAAACATTATAAAAAACATTATAAAAAACATTATAAAAAACATTATAAAAAACATTATAAACCATTATAAAATTTTAGAATGATATCCAGAATTAATTTATGAATTACCTGTTTCATTTTTTCGGCAACTCCCATTACTGCTCCCAAAATGGGTTCATCTGATGAATCAAAAACTGTTTGATCGTATTCTTGATCAGCACCAATCATTGGAGTTAGAGCGACCGAATCATAATCTTTAATAATTGTAATAATGGTAATATTGTACGAATGGAAATGGAATATGTTCAATTATTCAATATATAATAAAAATTGAACCGCTCAATGTTTACGTACGTATACCACTGAAAAAAATGAATTTCCTTTTTTTAGTATATATTTCTTTGATATTGAAGCTTTTGCGAATAGTTCCATCACGAACCTGTATATCGCATATACGCATTTGTCATAGATGCCATGACCTATATAAAAAAAATATGATGAACCTTCGTGAACGAGTAAGTGTACAAAACTCATAATATACCATATCGATCAATTCTTCCAGACTTAACATCGACACTACGAATTTCTTTAATTTAAAATTTTAGTCATTGAAACGCTCTTGATAAAATAATATACATTTTTTAATCTCGTTATTATATGATTAGAATCTTTACCAACTTTGTAATAAGATGCAAAAATTGAAAGTTCTATATTTAAAAATTAAAATGAATTAATTTTAGTTAGAAGATCGCTTTTTTAAACAAACTAAATGAATAAAAAAATTAATGTGTTATTTCACCAATAGCCCCTCCCCAGCTATTTTTCTTTGCAATCCATTCGCAATAATCATCTCGTGATCTACCAAGGACCACATCAGAATAGGTCTCCGGATCTTCTTTTATATATTTAATAATAGCTAAATAAATAATTATAATTCAAATAGTAATTTAATGGTTAATAAATTATGACCTATAATAATTATATTTCAATGAGATGTAAATTAAATCTTACTATTTCTAAGGTTTTGGATATCGATTGATCTATCCAAAACATAACTTTTAATGCGAATAAAAATATTTGAGCATCTTGTATTAACAAAGATAACAATAAGTAGGACAGTCAAGATTCCCATACCCTAACGTTCAAATTCATTAAAATAGACATAATAAGTAACAAGAAATTTTTCCAAGTAATAATAAGGATTATATGACTTACCGATTGCACGAAACAAGCATGAATTATCATCTTCCATTTCCTAATAAGAATAATTGAATTCATAGTACTTTGTCGCATTTCATGAAAATTTCAAATATCATAAATTTCAATTTCATACTCTTAAAACGACAAACCCATTTTCTACAGGAACCGATATACTTTCCGCTTTCAAAGAACCAGTAACATTATCAACAGGTTGACTAACAGGTTGACTAATTATTTCTGGGAAGGCATTCTCGTCAAGAATAATTTGGTCTCCATTTTGAATTCCAGCGGAAGATAAAATTTCGTCGTCTTTTGCACCACAGACGCGTGGTGGATATCCTATCTTGACTGGTTTTTTTTTTAACGTAGAATTCGTATCAAAGGTTGCGAAATTATTTGAATTGAGCTGTTTTAGACTTTTAGACCTTACGTTCTTGTCGAAGAGGGCTGATTCCACTTAGTGCATGAATTGCGCTTTTTAATTCAAATATGGTTGAAGTAGGAGTTAAGTCATTAATCATATGAACTTTATCTTTACTTCGAACCCTTAACTTCATTTTCTTGAATATACGTTTTTCACAAAAATTTTTACGCTCCTCAGAAAATTGTCAAAATTTTTTAATTTCTAATTGGCCAAATTACCAAATGTGCCGGTAATACAAACCTAAAAAAGAAATTTTACTATAAAGTACTGTACGTACATATGGCTACTACTGCACTAATTGTATATAAATTCCCCTCAATTCTGCAATTAGCGCGCCAACGACGATTTAAACATTAATTTTCGAGTATTTTCGTTTTCTTCTTTCCATAAGCTCGGATGAATTATTATAAATGTTACACGAGATTTATAAAATTTATCGTTATCAGATATGATTGAATATCAAAAAAATCGCCTGTTAACAAAATTCAGCTAGACCGTTTGTTAAGTGCATTGCAAACAAATTGTAGTCACCCCATCTCGGACTTTTATTAGAGGTAGTTTTTATAGCAGGCGATAATATGTTAAAATGATTTTTATTTTTTTTTTTATCATTTCAGTAACGATACGAATTTCAAAGCTCTTTCTAATGGTGTATTTACTAATTCTCAATTTGATAATTTCTAGTATTACAGAAACAAGTCTGTCATATTGTAATATATTATATTAAAGAAATGCCTGTTCTGAAAACTTTGACAGT